CAAAAAAAAAGAAACTTTCAAATATGTGATTGATGTAGTTATTGGGTGAACTTCAAACTGGAAAAATCTATTTCTGAGTGAGGGAGGGAGAGAGGTTCTGTTGAACTCAATTATCAGTGCTTTGCCTACTTACACTATGTCCTGCTTCAGGTTGCCCATCTCATTGTGTGTAGATATTTGCAAAACCTCTGCCAACTTCTGGTGGGGACAGTCAGACAAAGGAAAAAACAAAATTCACTGGCCAAATGGGATTCTTTAACCAGAAGTAAAGACAAAGGGGGGTTAGGGTTTAGGGATCTTAGAATCTTCAATGATGCTCTTATCATGAAACAGTTGTGGAGAGTGCTCACTAAGCCAAACTTGTTAGTGAGTAGAGTGATTAAGGGGAAATACTTCTGGAAATCAAACTTGAGTGAGGTTAAAAGCAAGAGTGGGGATTCATGGCTTTGGAAAAGCTGGTTGAAAACTAAAGATAATATCTGTTTGGGAACTAGATATCAGGTGGGGAATGGGAGTTGTATCAACATTTGGGACAATCCTTGGATCACTAGCAATTTGTCTTTTAAACCCACATGTTACTTTGAGAGAGATAGAGAGAAATTGCAAATGGTCAACCAGCTCTTTCTTGCAGGGAAAAAAATGGGACAGAGAACTGATTTTACAATGTTTTAATCCTATTGAAGCAGCTGATATTCTTGACATTCCAATCAGTCAGGTTGGATCACAAGACAAACTCATCTGGCACTGGACCAAAGATGGCCACTACTCTGTGAAATCTGCCTATCAGATTATGCTTGCAAAGAAGGAAGCAAAGCTCCATAAAGACACAACATGCTCCTCAACAGACAACCTTCAAAAGATGTGGTTGAAGACCTGGAAACTGTCCATCAAGAATAAACTCAAGATCTTCATCTGGAAATGTTGGCAAGGATATCTGAGCCTTAATGAACACCTGTATAAAAGAGGAATGGAGATTGATGTCACTTATGGAATTTGTGGAGAAGAGGCAGAAAATCTGGAGCACCTTTTTTTCTATTGCACTAGAGCACAAGTTTGCTGGAAACTGCTGGGAATCAATTGGAGCTGCCTACTGAATCAGGAAACTAAATTCAAAACATGGTGGCAGGACATCTGTATAGCCAAAGGAAAATGTTGCATGGAGGATAGAATAAGTCTCTCAGTCTACATGCTATGGTGGCTATGGAAAACTCGCAACACATGGATGTTCAACAAGGAGTGGAAGAGTGAAAAGTTGATTGTTGAGGAAGCCAAAGCTGAATGGGGGGAATTTTTTAGTAGTCAAGAAGCTTTGGTGGCTAATAAGAAGACTAAGGAGACCTCCTTCTTGAAGGTAGGACAGCACTTTGCTGTCAGTGCCTCTTTGTCTCCTTATGGCAAGCTGGGAGTTAGTTGTGTGGCTTGGCAAGAGAATGGGGTTAAACAAGAATGGCAAAAAGCATTGACCTTTGAAGGTAGCAACATGGAGGCTGAGTTGTGGGCTATGCGCTGGGGAATGCAGAAAATCCAAGGCACTGGATGGGATGAAGTCTCATGTTCAGTGGCCAATAGCTCCCTGTATCAAACTTTGACATCTCTGGAAACAAACTCAGACCCCTGCTCTTGCTACTGTGATGATATTAGATCTCTTTCATCTTGTTTTAAATCTCTATCCTTTTGCTTAGTTGATGTATTAGATGCTAGAGTTGTAGACTTGGCCATTATGGCTTTACAGGGAATTTGATTAACTTCACTTTCTCTTGTTTATTCGACCCAGTATCCTTTGTAATGGGCGAATTTACTTAGAACCATTTGGTTCTTCGAATGTGCTTCTATTGAGTTAATGAAAATTTGATTATTTGCCGTGGAAAAAAAAAAGAATCGATGTGAAAGTGAGAAATTGGGCTAAAATTATGGGATGGTGTAGTTGGGGTCCTATATTTTTGCTGCAATAGCTGGATAACATTAAAGCCATGACCAAGCCAATAATATACATTCATTGCACAATAATGACATTTGTTTCTCTTCAATTTTCCAATCACACACAAGTCCACTTTCAATAATCATCATTTACACCCACAATCAAACAAACAAAGAAAAGACGGTCGGCGACCAAACAGATGAC